ATGTGGAGAGAGCATCCCAGTGAAACACCAGGACCATCTCTGAATTGTGGCCACCGCCCTTACATCTTATATACAGACACACAGACAAAGAACATTCCACAAACACATGTTGGCTTCTCTCACGGGGGGCTATACTTCCTCACTCACAGAGAGAATTATGACCTTGTTTTCTGAGTGGCCATCAGGATTTACATCCCTGATAAGCCAAAGGAGTCTCACTATCTGTTTAACTTCCCCCATTACAATGGCCTCACTGTGTTAACATTCCATGTGCATGTGAACTAGTTACAGGAGTGCTCTGAGAAAGCAACATTACTATAACTAATGTGATATGGTTAAATATGTGATTATTACATGAGAAAACTACCACAGAGTGCTAAACAAGAAGACTCCTGTGATTAAAACATCTTTCTTTCAGCTTAACGAGTGAACCGTCAGCTCGTTCAAACACACGTTAAAGTCCGTTTGGCTCGACACCACCGAACAGAGGCAGCAATATAACATAGCTAACATTAACAGTGCAGTGGATCCTGCTTGTACCGTGATATTCAGGACTGCAAACCGAGCAGCATCACTGATTTTTAGCTTATTGTGCTTTTGGATATGTGACTGACATTAATTATGAATAAGACATCACATTCTCTGTAAGATTAAGGTCAACTAATATATGTGTGTGTATGTGTGTATGTATGTATGTATGTTAAAATTACTTTTTTTATTATTTTTTCTAATAAAAATATATATATATATATATTTTGAAGTCAAAGCTTTAAAAACAAAGTTAACGCTGAAAGTACAAACATCGCCAATGTCACATAACTTTGTCGACATGTGGCCAACAGTAATGTCTTAATGTTATTCATTATTAAACATTCGCACTTAAGTAAGTGACATGATATTCAGTACTTACTTTTGACAGTTCATTCTTCGGCTGCTCCCTTCTGCCGTATTTTGCAAGAGCACCTGGTTACAGCCACTGGGGAGCGCCATATTGCAACCTCCGCAGTAACCGGAAACACGTAACCTCCGCACTAACCGGAAACACGTAACTTCAGTTAAATCGACATTGAAAGCAACGTGTTTTTGTTATTATTGATGCTGCTGATAAATAAATTTGATTCTTAGTGGGGTTTTTTTTAATTCTCTGGGTTTATTTTAAAAAAAACTAATCACCATCCCTTCAGCTTGTTCGTGGCAAAAGTGTCCATGTGTTATGTTTTTGTTTCTTTGCTACTTTTTCTGCATAAAGTTTTTTCACAAATATAAAATAGTCATTACTTTTTACATTTTTAATCCTTCAAACACCCCTTTCTAGTACAATGCACTTGTTTGAAGACAACCTCAAAACTCACCATTTCATATATCAGCAGCGCTACTGGTAATTATTATACAGTGTTCCCTCACTATAACGTGCTTAGCCTTTCACGGACTCGCTGTTTCGCTGATTTCGTTTTTTGTTTTTTTGTTTTTTTACAGCACATTGTGTTGTGCGTTCTGATTGCTGTAGACCATTGTCAATCAATCTAGTGCCATGTCTCCTGTACAGCAGCGGTCCACAACATCCGGGCTCCTTTGGTACCGGGTCGCGAGAGTTGAGGCTCGGGTGTGAAGTGTATGGTCTTCAGGGTTTTTAATCGTTAAGTCGGGTTCCCTGGGTCTTTTCCCGTGTTGTAGTTGTGT